AGGAAGCAAGCTGAGTAAAAATAAAGGAAATAACTCATTAATTACTGTAATGATGGGATGCATGGAGAGAACGTAGTGAGAAATTCTCGTGAGTTAACTAAATGAATTGAGTTGTTTTCTGTGCAAAAAGGCATTGAAGCTCCTGTCTCAGGGCCAGAGGTGTGTTGGAGAAGTGGGGGCGGAAAATGGCAGCATTACAAGTCTAACTCATTAATACTCATGACATGCAAACAGCTCACCTCTGATTGGCTAATGGCAACATGACTTTTATGCTGCCTTCATTAGTTCTTTTTTCCTTGAATAAGAAAAATGCAACTTTTACAGATAACAAAAGGCACGCTTGTGCTACTGTGATATTGAGTTGCTAACGCTAATGCTAGCTTCTACTAGCCAAGACGCACTCTCCTGGCTACTAAATCAACACAGCCTTCCGCGATTGCGAGCCAAGGTAGGTGAGGCCAGGAATGCTAATTTACTCTGATGTAGGAGAAGTCGATTGTTTATTTCCTTTCTGCGGCTAGTGCAAGTGATGTGGTTTGAAGACATTTTTTCACATTTATCATGCATGCGAAACTCGTAATGACCGATGTTATTAAAAAAGCAGTTTTACATGGTTTCTCCATAAATGCAGTCATTAAAAGTAACAAGAAACGATAACTGTTGATCTCCAAATCATAAGTGCATAGAAAAACCTGCAGGTTCCGACATTTATTATACCTCAGGAATATTTAAGAACCACAAAATAACCTCCAGATTTGGTGAAGCACCCATTATAATTATCTATTCAATATGTGCCACATGTAGCTATATAAACAAGTAACAGAGGCATTTAAACTCTTCTCTGAATGTATGCGTCTGTGTGAATTCATCACTAGACTAAGGTCCTGTTACAAACCACGTCAGAACTTAGGAAACAAGCATGAACAAAGGAGCACGTATTTATTTATTTGACCCGATTTGGTTTATTGTAGAAAGATAGAAATTACAGCGGCTGATGAAAACAGAGGGAGGCTTTTACCCTTGTAGTACCTCTTTACCACGAAGGGCCCTTGAACAGACTGTTTGTTCCTTCCCCATCTGCTTTGACGTATTAGATAAAACTCCAAGGCTATTGACATCACCATCAAAAGACTGCAGCGTGAACTAGAAAAAGCTGTAGCCTGGGGACAACTATTTTAAATGCTATCTAAGTTTTATTTCTATTATATCAAGGATCACAGAACCTGCCAGTGTGATAACCAAGCAGCCGACAGCTAAACCCTCAGGACAGGAAATGAGTTGCGCAACAATCGATGTCATCTAAGGGTAAATGCCCGTTTTGATGAAGGATTCTTCAAAGGCAGACTTATTCAGCTAATGTTCTCGCTCCACTTTTCTATCATTAACCGGAGGAGGAGATAAAAGCATCGTTTGTGACATCTAGACACCTCTGTGGCTTTAAAGTGGCCCATTTGGACGCATGTCGTGGAAAGTTAAATGAGTGTTAGAATGATCGATTTTAAAAGCCTAGAGCTAAATATCAAATACTGTTTTTAATGTTTTGAGCATGTGTAAAAGTTTGTGCTGTATTATGTAAAATTTTAGTTTTGATGGAAGGTTGAAAAGAACAAAGTAAACTTTCTCATGGTGTCTTTCAAGGTCAGGTTTTTTTTTAATTTTGCTGCAGACGACATGAATTTGAGTGGGGCTTTAAGATTGCTGGGGTCAGTTACTAATTATTTTTATATTCGTCCATTTAATATTTCATTACTATATGCATATGGGATCCATTTTGGAGCCACAAGGATCGGGTCTCTCCCATTTGCAGTTGATGTGGTCCTGCTGGCTTCATCAGATCATGATCTCCACCTTTTTGCCGGAGCTGTTTAAGAGCCAAGTGTGACGCAGCTGGGATGAGAATGAGTTCCTCTAAATTGGAGACCATGGTCTTGAGTTGGAAAAGGCTTGAATGTCTTCTACGGGTCAGGAATGAGGTCCTCCCCCAAGTGGAGTCGTTTAAGTATCTCTGGGTCTTGTTCACGAATGAGGGAAAGATGGAGCGTGGGATCGATAGGCGGATTGGTGCTGCGTCTGCAGTGATGCAGGTTTTCCCTTAAAGATAGGGTGAGAAGCTTCATTTTGGAGGGGCTCAGAGTAGACCCGCTGCTCCTCCATTTTGAGAGGAGCCAGTTGAGGTGGCACAGGCATCTAGTTAGGATGCCTCCTGAACGCCTCCCTGGTGAGGTTGTCCGGTCACGTCCTGGAAGTAAACCCAAGGAAGACCAGGACACGCTGGAGGGACTATGTCTCTCAGCTGGCCAGGGAATGTTCTGGGATTCCCCTGGAGGATCTGGCCCAAGTGGCTGGGGAGAGGGAAGTTTGGGCCTCCCTGCTTAGGCTGCTGCCCTCACGACCCCGGATAAGTGAAAGACAATGGATGGATGGATTACAATATGCACTGTAGTGAGGTATTAAAAATCTGAGCTTTATTCAATAAATAAAAGTTAAAGCTGGGGATCAAACGGGCCAATTATGGATTACAGAGCGAGTTTATTAACCTCTATGTACATTTCCTCATGAAATACCCATAAAAGTGATATGTACCTGACTCGTGTCAGGTTTTGGTTATCAATCAATCAGATTTATTTATAAAGCACTTTTCAAACAAAGTGCTACTCAAAGTGCTTTACAAAATGACCCCAGGTTCCCATAACAGGTTAAAAACATTAACAGACATATGCAAGCACACACACACACACGCACGCATTCACGCACGCACGCACGCACACACACACACACACACACACACACACACACACACACACACACGTAAAAATTATATTTGGCTGAGTCCAGATGAGCCCAGAAAGGTAAGGCAAGGAAATACCATCAGAGGAGCCATCTGCCCCGGCAGCATCAGGTCTTTCACACTAAGTCAGGGCGCTCAGTGGAGGGGGAGCATAGACCCCCACCTATAGAGCGCCCAGGAAGCTACAGTCGACCACCGCTCCCGGGGCAGAGGGCCCCTACAGAGGAAACACTGGATTAAAATGAGTAAAAATATAATAAAAGAACTAATATAAATGACAAAAGTTAGAAAATAAGTAATAAATAAAATCATATAGACAGTAAAGTAATAATATTAAATAAAACTGTGCTAAAATATAATCATATAAAACATGCAAAAGCAAGTAATAAAATATAATCATGTAAAACGAGGAATAAAACTGTAGTAAATATTTAGATAAAAGCTAACCTAAAAAGATGGGTCTTGAGCCTGGACTTAAAAACATGAACGTTCTCTGCGGCCTTGAGGTCCTCTGGCAGCTCGTTCCAGAGGCGAGGGCCATAACACTGGAAGGACGCCTCACCGTGAGTGCGTGTCCTGACTTTAGGGATGACCAGGAGACGCCTGCCAGAGGAGCGCAGAGGCCGTGAGGGTCCGTATGGTAAAAAACAGTTCTGAGAGATAAGAAGGCCCAAGACCGTTAAGACACTTAAAAATCATTAGAAGAACCTTAAAATGGATCCCGAAACATACGGGGAGCCAATGCAATGATTCTAAAACTGGTGTCATGTGCTCCCGCCTCCTCACACTCCAAGATCTGCAGGATTACGAAAAAAGAAAAATAAGTTGTGGTGTCACAGTGGGATAGCTCTGCACCATGTCCTAGAGATACAACTCAAACTACAAACCAACAAAACTGTGGTGAAATTCCAACCATAAGAGTACAACTTTCCACAAATTACTCCGCTGTACTGTGTTTGATAATAACCCAACAGAAGTTAGCTAAAGGACTAGCTAGTGTTTACGATTAAGGACGCTGATTACTGGTTGGATGGAAAGGTTCTCCCAGCATGCAATGCGCTTTCAGAAATGTTGAAAATGTAGCAAAAAATAAATCCTCTCAGTTTGTTTCATTCACAGTTAAAATAATTTTAATGAAATTAAATATACATGTATTAAATAAAAGTTGGGTATAGTTTTTAGCTTGGAGGTGAAACACCAAACGGGTAGAAGGGTTTAAATTGTGTTCACTTCTGCCACTCGAGTGTAAATTGTGTTTATTTATTGAAGCATAAGCTGCAGCAACACATGTGTGGCAAACAACAAACATAAAGAATTCAAAAGCATGTACACACTGTGTTGCATTGTAAAGTAGGCTCTATCGAGTGCTTACCATACAGAGTGGTGAAACTTTAGCTTTAGACCCATTTTCTTTAAAAATCTATAGAAAACGATAAAAAAATTAAAGATATTCTTCATTACAGTGTGTCTCACCAAATGTAAAACCCTTCTAGAACCTTCTAAAGTTAACACAGTAGATATTTGGATGGAAACTGTAAACAAATAGAATCTGAACAGATTTCTATTTATCTGCACATTTTCACGTGTCGTGTCTTGAGGAGTTCTTAGCTGCGTTGGAGATCGTGGGAGCGGTCGAGTATGATGAAACGCTAGCCCAAACACTGAAACACACACAACGAAGTGCTTCCCAAACTCCTATTTTAAAGTTAGACATCAGAGCTAAATGTGTGATTCAGCTCCAGCTTAACGTAAAACGTTATTCCTCAGAGGTCATTTTTAAAAGAGGAAGTTGGTGCCTGCTGGATTATATTATCCCCCCCCTGCTGTGTTTAGTGGTAATGAATGGCAGCTAATGAACGCTGCTGCGGCTGGCTTCCCCCCGAATCCCCTTTCTCACTTGGTTTGCTGGTGGCTGTCTGGGAGATGAGGGGAAGGGGATGGGGGAGGAAGAGAAAGGGAAACGGGGGAGAAGGCCACAGCAGGGTGCTATCGCACCTTGCACCATGCCAACACCAAGGTGGGAGCATGGACGGATCAAAGGGAGGTGTTGCACATGAGAAGGTCAGGTTGGGAAGCCGTGTGTGAATCTGAGGCCCAATAGTTTCATCAATAAACTGTTGGTTTCTCTTAGGTTTCATCTTTATACAACGCTTTGCTCATCTTCACGTTTGATTCAGTCCGTTTCTACCTCACTGCTCTTCTTTTGTTCCAGCCACAGGGACCTAAAGCCAGAGAACCTGTTGCTAGATGAAAAGAACAACATCAGGATAGCAGACTTTGGCATGGCGTCCCTTCAGGTTGGAGACAGTCTGTTGGAAACCAGCTGTGGGTAAGGATTATTAAAAAATGTTCCAAGGCCTCTTTTCTAATGCACTGTCTATCTCATGAAACTATAACATTGTTTTGAAAGTAATAATCTGCTTTAGTTGGAGGGGCGGTGGAATAACAAATGTGAAGGGGAAAAAAGAAAAGCACTGGGATTACGGAGGCTATTGGGTTCATGGTTTCCCAAAAAGCCTTTCGAGTGAGGATGAAAGAATAACCTGATCTGTATTGCCGGATGGCAAATGCTTTTTTTTGTTTCTAGTTCAATCCTGATTCCAGTAAAAAAAATTCCCACAAAAATCTGCAATATTGTGATCTTGTGCTTAGCAGCCTGTATGAGCTGTCAGGAGAAACGTTGAAATTATTTTTAGAAGGGTCCCTTCAGTGAGACGTTCAGGTTGTACATGGATGCCATGCTACTTAGAGCAACATGGCCGCTGTTTGAATTGGAAGGTCTTTTTTGACATCAATGTTTTTATGTTTTTCGATTTGCATTAGGGGATTGGGTGACCAGAAACAGCATATTTTGCCTATAATTGAATTGTTTTGCATGTTTGGAGGCGGGTTTAGCGAAGCAGGTGGATCATTCCTGTTTTGTGGTTGATAGTGAGGCTCGTGGGAGGCTTGATTAAAAAATCGTATTGGAATTTCTTCCGTGCACGGAATTCGAAAATATTGCAGGCAGCCTGGACTCTTCGAAGAAAGCCTGCAATCTGGCAGCAACGAACAGTTTGTGAGGCTCATTTTGGTCATGGTAAGCCCTTGTGACTAAGTATTTGTGAATCGAGTCTCATGTTTTCCCTTTCTGTTTGTTCAGGTGTCTCAACCAACGATCATTATATTATAATGTAGAATTAAATGAGAACATGATTGAAGACTCAGCTGTTTGCAGTCAGTGTGAGGATGTATCCATTTTCTTTGATAATCATCCACATATGACATAAAAAAATGCTGAGTCTGCTTGTCAGGGCCAGGGGCGGATTTAGGACTGAAGAAGATCCGGGGCTTAACACACACGCGTGCGCACACAAACGCGCGCGCACACACACACGTGACACGCACTAGTCAACATATATATATATGTCTTGTACCACATAATTTTTAATCTGAAGCTACATATTAAGCATTTTCAGGGCAGAGTATTGTTCCTGTTAGTGTTTAGTGTGAGATGATAGTAAATATTCCCTTTCTTTCTCCAACCACTTTACCTGATAGTAAGCTAACTTTGGGAAAACCAGCAGCATAACAAATATTTTCAAATAAGACTCACAAACCTGAGTCAACACCAGTTTCATCAAAGCTGGGGTTCTGTCGTTGTACTTTTGGTCTAAAAAACGTCCTTATGTCCATCTTCACTCATGCGTTTCAGGCAGAGAGTGTAGAAGAAGCCGGCTGCTGAAGGGCTTCTTCTTCAGTGGTGGAGGCTCAGGCAGGCTGTATACAAACTACTGCCAGCTGCTCCCTCTCTGTTGGACTTTGGTACTGCATGTTACTTCCACGATTTAGATCCGGGGCTTTTCATAAAACATCCGGGGCTTCAGCCCAAGTAGCCGGGCCTAACTCCGTCCCTGGTCAGGGCAGACTCCTGCTATTAGCATGACCATCGCTTTCTGTTTGCAGAAGAGAACTGCCTAACTTTCCTTGAAACAAAATAAAGAAACTTTTAAAAGTCTTTAATTTTTCATGAGTGAAGGGTCCAGAGCTTTCTATTAAATAGGAAAAAAAATGTCTCCAAAAGATTTGTGGTAAACACTTGTGAATAAGACCAACCCTAACCCTGTAATCCCAGAGCTCATACAGGCTTTCAATAACTTTATTTTGTCTTCAATACAGATTTTAAGCTAATCTCCTCAGAAGTGACCATGTGTATTTTCCATGGCAATAGGGGGAAGTACGTACCTAAATCATTGCCAGCAAACTTATTTTTTTGTGTTAGAATAAAATCTTCTCTATGGAAGGCCATTAGGGTCAAAAATCCCTGGGAGCGTAGAACTTCGTCAGATTGTTCGACTTCCAGCATAATGTCAAGTACATCAGACTCATTGGCAAGGAGCGAAGAGCTAAATGTGTAAAATAACGTTGGTGAATGGTAAAAGTTTACTAACCGTTTGTTACAAATCAGTAAATGCGTCGTCAGGAAGAAAGATGGCGTCGCCCAGACTTAGACCCACTCCCATGTATTTTAGACCTGATTTATATTGTGTTACGAAGCCACCAATAATTTTTAACAAAAGGGCATCATTTAATTAATTTTCTTCATTTCGATGGATATTTCTAGAGATTAACGGTAAAAACTATACATTGTCACTTTAAAGTGTTTTTTTTGCCCCACAAACTCTCTTGAAAGTGTACGTTGTGTATTGATAGCAGGTCATACTGTTTTATTTCCACACAACCACTCGTGCATTTGCACAAAGATGAAATAATATGTCAGCAAAGGTCCTATACACAAAGTATTCCTCACCGCATTTATTTTTAAATACATTCAGACAAAAAAAAACTGCACAGAAATGTCGTGTGCTTTTGCAACACCTTTTCAATTTCTTTCCTCCTGTCCTTAGATTTTCTTTCACTGGTCTAATTTTAACAACCACTTGTCTTCAGGAGTAGTTTGGCAAATCGTTCTTAATGGTGTTCAACATAAACAATATTACACATATTTTTCCCATTGAAATATAAATTTGCCACTAGATAAAATTCTAAAAACTCTTCCCGAATTTTCCAAAGTGCTGAGTACAAATCAATCTCCGTTCTGGGTCATTCTACCAGGAAAAAGGGAATGCATTTTTGCTTTATCTTCATAATTCATAAAACCAATTCAAAACCCGTAGCTGACTTTTGTGAGGGTTTTCATGCTTTTAACAGGAATCACAAAGACAATGAGCCAACATCAAACTAAGCTTCTGCCATCCAGCAATGCAGATCACATGGTTCAGATCCCCACTAACTTCATCTGTCTTGTCTACTGAATGTTCTGTCTGGCTCTGAGCGTGGCCGGGGCCTTGGCCAAACATTACTGCCCTCCATCTCCTCCTATCTCAGCGAGGGTTTATGATCCAGCCTTTACGATCGCACTGTGCTCATCAATCCTGTGGCTACAATAAATCTGCTTGCAGGAAAAAGTTGGTGCATGGCAGCAATCAAAAGGGAAGCCTGAAGTCTATATTTTAGAAGTGCTTTTATTCAACCCTGAGCTGTAATGAAGGCTTGGATGGTCTAAGCTTATCAGAGTTTACTTCTTGAGTGTGCTTTTATAACCCCGACGACTTTGTGAATCTATTTGAGACAAAGATGTTCAGTGTTTTTTCAGATGAATACAAACAAATTTTGGGAGGATTTTTTAACGTGTTGGTTGGCGGTTTTTAAGTGGAGCATTTGCTCTGTCAGGATTTTGTCGAGGCCTGGTGACAGCTGTCCTTCAGTCTGATCGACTCTGTCCAGATTAAATCGAGACAGCTGAAATTCTGCATACACGGAATTTGGTGCATATGTTCACAAAGTACGAGGCTGACTTCATCCCCATCATCTAAATGTCTTTGCTCCCTGATTGGATGATGGGTTTGCTGTGTGTCTTGCTGTCTTTCCATCTCTGACACCCTCCCCTTTATATGTCTGCAGATTACAAGCATGATTATGCAGGCACACATGTCCAGCTGAAACAGTTGCATAATTCTTTTTTAGCAGTAGCGGAAATGCCTAAATTCACATGAGTCATCGGTGGAGATCAGTGTGTGTGTGTGTGTGTGTGTGTGTGTGTGTGTGTGTGTGTGTGTGTGTGTGTGTGTGTGTGTGTGTGTGTGTGTGTGTGTGTGTGTGTGTGTGTGTGTGTGTGTGTGTGTGTGTGTGTGTGTGTGTGTGTGTGTGTGTGTGTGTGTGTGTGTGTGTGTGTGTAGCTATATGCAAATCAGTTGTGCTCAGAGTCATTTTTATAGAAAGGGAAGACCATGCTGATGTTTCCTTTATTACTTTAGAAACGGCCCAATGTGGCACTTCTTACTCAGCAGAAACACCCAGCTCTCCTCTTACCTGCATTAATTCTGCTGACACGTTTGAGCGTTTTTGTCCTTCGATGTCATCCAAAGTGGTTCATCTGCTCCGTTACCCCTGCATTCATTTACAAAGTGCATAAGGCACATGTTGCAGCTGGGAATATGCAGCTGTTTGAATGACACCGTTCCAAAAGTAGGTCCAGCAATTTTTTATGTACTCTGAGCTCCATTATCACTCTGTTTGCTAGCTTGTCTCAGAAGTGTGTGTGTGTGTGTGTGTGTGTGCATGGGTATGTGTGTGTGTTGGTGCTGTGCACTGTAATTGTGGTTATTGATTATTCATGCTCCTCTGACTGCCCCATCTCTAAGTGCAGATATGACACTTTTTAATTAAACAGATTTATCTGGGTCCTCTCTCGCCATGAAAACGGGCTGACACAAATGTATTCCATTTGCTTTGGGTAATGGAGCTGAGTAAAGATGAGAGTTGCTCAAGGTTGCAAAAGGGGGGCCTCCGAAAACACCCAGTATGGAAATGCATGCAGATACACAGATATGCAAATGAGCCGAGGCACCGGCGAGCACTTGCAAACACGAAATCAGAGCAACCTTTTCCTACGCCTAAACAAATTTAGCGGTGACTTTATGCATGCGTGCTGTGTATTTACCGAAGTGCTGTTACACCGATAAACAAACTTATGAAAGCAAACAAACTTGCAAACAGAGCTGCAAAAATGTGGTTAAAAATATGTTTTTAATGAACGGAGACTTCTCAATATTTCCGTGACGGTTTTTCCTGATGTTTTGAAAGTGTGTTTCTGTGTAAACAATTCTAAATATTAACCATTTTCCCTTAGGATTGACTAGCTAATGGCTAGTCTGATCACATCCCACAACAAAGTGTATTGCTGCCATCTTCAAAAAGGTCTATCTGAAAGGCCACATTTGTTTGGGCAAAAATTATCTAAATCTGTAATTTGCTGTCTTTCTAATATTTCATGATAAATTCTGTGGAATATAATTAGAGATTCCTGCTGGACTTGACCCCTGGGATGCACTGGTACTACTGGTGATGGTGGTATTTATACTTTTTGGGCCATTTGCATCCTGCAGGCTTGTGGTAAAGGATCATTTCATGCATAATAGTGATGAGGGGCACCAGGTAACCTTAGGCAGACTTGAATATTTATGTTCAGTTTACAGCTGAGGGGCTCCCATCATCATTTTAAAGCCTGTATTCACTGGAAGATGCTTGAGGTAAAATAAACATTAAAAATATATTTATAGATTATTTCAGCACTGTGGGCAGTTCTGTCTGAAACTTTTGTTTTCAGGGCATCTTTTAATGCCTCCAATAATGAAAGTTGTGCTGTTTTGTCAGCTGAAGGGTCAGAAATGGCAAGGTTTGGATGGAATCACTAACTAAAAAAGAGATGCTTAAAATACACACAAGGCACTTTAGGCTTTCTCTGCCATGGGAGATGGCATTAGAAGTATTTTGTAAACTTTCTTCCCTTTTGCATTCACAAAAAAACGCTGATGCAACCCCCCAAGTGCCCCTAACCCACAAAAATAAAGAAAATATAGATTATTCTTGCAGCATCAAGTTTTATCGCCTTCTGCTGTACTTAAATAACCCAATTTTCTTTCCTTTCTGGTGATTCGATGCTCATATGCTGAGAAGTAAATGAGCTTTAACAAGCAGCAAGACAATACTGATGTTAAAACAATGTGGGAATCCACAGGAGCTTCTTTAGAACACTGAATTTTTCAGTCTGGTCAGAGGGGAATGGCTCTCACTGTTTTCTATATTTAGTATGCAAGTCTATAACTTCTGGAGCGAACAGCGGGACGCTCATATTAGAAATTTCTCCTTCTAGGTTGGTAATCGAATTTAAGCCTCATCTATCTTCAGATTGAGTTTCGTCCTTTATTCTTTTGAAGCACATCTGAAAATGTCATTAAGGTTAATTAGATTTTTTTTCATAAAGGTTTATTCTAGGGAATCAATTTGAAGTCATTGTTTAGTTGCTTTATATGTGTGGCCCTGTCTGAAGTTATCAGCAGGATGGAACTAAGTGGAGCTGTGATAGTGGTAACCATCTGAGGAAGGAGCACTTTTCATTGTCAAATTATGTCTTTATTTGAGACTTTTTAAGGTCTGTGTAGAAAGCCCACTGACTCTGTGGCTTGGCTGCATTCAAAACATGTTTGAATAGTCTGAAGTAAAAGATCAAAGGATCAATACATCAAGCTTTTGACCACTGTGAGATATATAAATATAATTTCCCTTTCAGTTGATTCACTCGGTACCACGCATGTAGTTTGGGATATCGTACCCCCATGCAGTCTGACATCTTAAATCACGCCTGTAGGCATTACAACACTCCGCCTGCACATAAATACCGCACTTCCTGCCGCAGTTCTTAAGCTCTTTACCTTGCTGATGACACCTCTTCTAGTTTCAACGTGTGTTAGCTAGCAGTGGCTAGTAAACACCCTGTCTTTGTTTTGTGCAAAGTGATGCAAGTTTAACTGTTATTTGAAGTTAAATTTAGACCCAATTTAGCAGATATTTTATTTTGTGATTTCTGTTGCAATTGTTTAGTTTAAGGCACATTATTGGCTCAAAATAAAAATGAAACGACTGAATTAGACTTCCTGCGGGTACATGCGCCTGTTTGCCAAGCGCTAGTGCCATTTACGTATGTTTCCTAAATTTAGAGCTTTGTGGTTTGGGATGAGCACTGGAGCTGGATTGAAGAAGCAGAAGTCTGCTGTTTGCTCCTTTCTGCAGGGATGTGGCTTTACGCTTCATTATGAGGACCTCCAGGAAGCTTACCCCATTTGTCTCTGGAATGTCCACGTCAGGAGGGCGTTGACGCAACTGGATTCTTGCTCAATTTGTGGCCAACTTAGGCACTCAATGCTGAAACGCTGGGTAACGTTTGTGCAGAGGGTCCTAGGAGAAGTTGCTGTCTCTAAACAAGACCTATGCTCTTCAAGTCGAGAGACCTGGCCTCGTCCAAGTCGCAGTCTTGGGCTACGTGGACTTGCTAACTGAGCAGTCATTGAACTGGGCATGATGTGTGAGTAGGGGTATTTACATCACACGTCATGTGGCCTAAAGGCATGATTAAAACCATGCAGAGGCGTGGTATCCTGCCAACAGCAAAGGGATGTGGGCAAGAAGGCTGAAAAGAACAGGAAACCACTTAAATATGCTGATGACATGCTGTCATTTTTCGTTTAACCTACTCTACTCTACCAGCACTGAGACCTAGTACTCATGGGGATGGTGTTGTGTGGATGTACATGAGTTCAGCCTTGCTTCCTCACAGAAATTGTTTTAAAAGCCCCGGAGTCATATTTTTCTGTAAACCAGTTCCAGGGCAACAAGCCTTGAAACGCCACCGTTGGATATTCATGTAGATAGACCATGCTTCTTGCTTCTTGATTTTTATTTTTGTGTGGCAGCATTACAGCACCACATGTTTCAGGACATGATATATAATCAAATCACAACAAGAGTCGTCTCAAGGCACTTCACAAAGTAAACATTCCAGTTGAACCCACTTTCCCGCGCACTGAGTTATGTTCATTATTCCAGAAAACTCACCAGTTGGCATCGAGTCACTGGCCATCTCTCAGTACCTAAGTATGCTAGTATGTTCTTGTGTACTTGACAAAAATGTTCTTGGCAAGTACAACAAAGTCCACTCTAAAGAGTATGGGAGGACAAGGATGACATTTGAAACAAAACTGGACTCTGATATGTGATGGCATCAAGTGCTGCTTGTTGCTACCGTTAAAAAATGTCCAGACAGAAAAATAAGTCTGTTGTCCCTTAACAAAAAAAAAAACAATGAATACATATTATTTGTATATTTGGTCTACTTTTGATCAAAATTGATGAAATACCAGCATTTTCCATTGTTAAATTAAGAAAAAAAAGCTTATTTTTTAGTAAAACACCACCCTTAAGGCAATACTGCATTTGAAGAGTCCGGGGGGAAAAAAAATACAAATTCACACAGCAAATTCTACAGACTAAACACAATTATTTACAATAGCAGACAACTTTTTACTTTTTTTTTTATTACTGTTATAAAAACACTACAGTTGTGAGCTTTTTCTGCCGTTTCAGAGTACAACGGTTTGTGACACAGTACTTTGTTGCCCCAAGTCTGCAGAAGGATGCAATAATGCCTCCTCAATGCAGTGGGCGGAGCAAGAACACACCCGGGAACTTTAAGCAAACTTGCCTTGATTTGCACTCTTGAACAGTACTTGGGCCATCGTTGGTAATGTTTCACGAGGACATGAGCACACAAGTTCAGATGAGTGCACAAATTGAGAAATAGCCACTGACTTGTCAGTAACTTTACCTTAATCCTCACACTAGCACGTATGTAGGGAGGAAAACTCCCTTCAACAGGATGAAACCTCCACAGAACCTGGCTCAGTGTACGCAGCTGTCCGCCATGACCGACCTGGCAGAATTTCTAAGACATCTTGAGTTGTTTTATTATGGAGATATTTTGGAGAAATTACACAGTAGAAGAAACCTGAATCTGCAACCAGAACACCAAGGAACACATTACCTCCACCCTTTAGTTTACATCTTGGAGACGGGTTGCTAATGCAGCCATCTAATGAGCCCAAAACACTCCCTGAAAACTCTTTAAGGACAATTTAAACTGCAGAGGACAAAACTACTGATTGTCATGAACTTCAATCCACAATCACCCCCAAAAAGCTGCTAGAGAGAGAACTGAACATTGTATTCTGTTTTTCATGCATTAAATTATAGTTTAGAGGAAAACTTTTATTGTGCAACCTCTTCCCACGTTGATAAACCATACATACAATCATTCCATCTAACAATAATTTCCCAGTGTAATTTATACATGTTTTGCACATATACATTTGATGCTACAAGCAACTTCCCTGTGTTATTCCAGCTGTAATAAAAATGATTCATGTCTCACACGGTGTGCTTATTTGTTCTGACCAACCTCTAGTTTATGCAAATACAATATATTTATGCAGATTCATCTGCAGCTTGCCTGTTGTGGTGCACATGAGACAGAACCAGTGCAAAATAGTTTTCTTTCTTTTACTCCTTGCTGATCTGCATAATTCACTGTGCCACTTGCAATCAGGAAGGACTTATTTGCACAGGCTCACATTTAAATTGACCCTGTTGACTTGATGGGAGTGTGATTATCGACCCGTGTTTTGACAGCTCAGGGAGCCGGGTCATCAAGGCTGGTGATCATGAGAGTACAAGAAAATAATCCTCAACAGTCTCTCATTAAGGCCACACACTGGTATTAGACTAGAAGGAAGATCGTAGCAAACTGAAAGGTTTAGGGTAACAGGTGAAGCCCTCGCAAAAACCAAGAAACAAACAATTCTATCTAATTATGGACCAATCCAAAGCTCTCATTCTTACCCAAGAAATGTACAATTGAAATGTGTGAATGTCACAAGTACTCCGAAGATGCATGTGAGGAGTGACAGGTTACTGCCCCACTGTGCTCACTCGCAGCCAACGGTTTATGAAGCAGCGTTTGCGAGCTTGCCCCATAAATCTTCATGTGATATTGATGTGTCAATCTAGTCATTGGCTTTACTGTCAGTCCATCCAGCGGTCGTAAAGATTAGTGGGTCTGGTTACCGTCTGCTGTGAGAAGATGCCCTTGACTGAGCAAGCGGGAGGAGGACATCCAAATACCCTTAGGGTGTTTTAACTCCTAAAGTACACCTTGATCTATGTCCAGTGGAAATATTTACTGCCTACTTATGTGTTTGACAGAAGTATATGCTTGTTCCATGTTTGTTGTGTTATCACTATACCTGAATCACGTTTTCTGCTTATACACTCTTTAAACTTTTGCTGTTGATTTCTCTTTTCCCATAACAGATCTCCACACTACGCATGCCCAGAGGTCATCAGGGTGAGTCTATTTGCATTCATGTCCTAAATGATACCTTTTTTACGTCTTCATCTCTTTGCAATAGTTTATGTTATCATCCTCGTCAAACTTGCCAATCGACTCATTTTCCTTTTAGGGAGAAAAGTACGATGGAAGAAAAGCAGACGTTTGGAGCTGTGGCGTTATTCTTTTTGCCCTCTTGGTGGTCAGTGTTAACTTTTTCTTTTTCAAGCAAATGTTGATAGAACTGATAAACAGCAAAACATTATGCTTTTTTCCATTGTCACACCCATACATGATGTGTATTTGTTTCGGAACTTCTAAGTTAAAGTGGGCGACCACCTGCAGCAGATCAGCCTTCCGGCAGCTTTCCAGAAGCTGGCGAAATGGAGCTTCCACAAATGCCCGCAAGTTAAATGAAGCCATCCTGTTCAGAGCCATCCTTGCACCTTAAACACAAAAACCAGAGTTAGACACACTCTCCAAAACCAGAATTATCCTCACAACTGATCTTAAAATAAAATAAATCCTGGACGAGCCCCCATTTGTGTTACACCCCTATATAATGTTGGACATTGTGGAAAGGAAAGGTAATATAAAACTGGTCGGAGAGAGTGGATGTAGTAAAAACACAGATTTTTTAAACTCACAAAGTAATAAAACTAAACTGGAAAAACTCTGTTTACAAACTCACGTTCAAGGGAGGAAGCTAGAATGTAATTTAACGTAAAGCCACTACAACAAAAGCGTTAGTGGAGGAGTTGTTTTCAGCTTACTGTAAACAACAACAAATCCAGCTCCAACAATAGAAACCTCTAAAACACGGAGGCTATTTCCTCTAAGGATCTAACAGAAAGATTCCGATTAACAAAAGTCTGCTGATTATTAGGAACTTCAGTTCAAACGTTAATAGAGAGAAAACAGAGCAAAGGCTAACCCTTTAAAAGAGTGAAACAAAATAACCATATTCAATCCTCTTAAGTTCTTAACAAGATATCCAAAGTCGGACACAGAATCACAGAGATCATGGAGAGAATATACGCTGGTTCTATTCTCCATCTTCTTCAGCCAGCCGCTCCCTTTTAAGCTCTTCAGAGTCATTAGGCAGGATGAAGTTCAGCTGGAGCCCAGCTGCAGGAGGGAGAGGGAGAAGAGACGGCCTGATCTCTGTCCTTGGTGCTGAATGTGGAGTTGCCAGAACGGAGCTGTCAGGAGTTCAGATCATTGGCCGACATAACAACCATAAATGTGGTTTTAAATAAGTTATACTCTAGGGAAAACAAGCTCCAGTGTGTCTGTTTGGCAACATAGAAGTTGGCCAGAGGAGAAAGGATTTGGAGTTTTATTTCCTGTTATTTGGACATCTCGCCACTGATTGGTTAACAGCAACGGGACTCTACCACTGACTCTGTTTGCTCTGCATCTTTCATGTTTTATCTGCACAAATAACACAAGTCAGAAGGAGTTCTGCCATGTTGTGGAGTTGCTAATGCCAATGGCTAGCTTCTAGTAGTTGACACATACTCTGATGTTTCCTGGACGCTAAAACAACAGCCTTCCTCGTCGTGAGTCATGATGGGTGAGTCCATGTATGTTAAATGACAGTGTGATGTCAATCGGTAAGCAATTTCTGAACCGAGCGTTTTTCCATCGGTTTTCTTTCAGAAGCAAATGCAGGTAATAAGTGTAGGAGCATATTTTCATGTTCAGCTTGCATTTAAACTCAGAGTTACTGATCATTTTCAAACATAAGTAACTGTCAGTGAACCTGCTCTTTAAAGACTCTTGAATTTTAACAAATATTTTTCAAAACCTTAGAAGCTTGAAAGTTTTGTAAAGTGCTTGAAATTAGAAAATGCACCAACAATGCTGTGGATGATTATGATTGGCCAGTACTCCGTATGAATGGCTTAATCTGTGATTGACCTATTTGAGATTCAATAAATAAGATTTCCCACTTAAAATCTGTAGCCATTTTTGAGTTTCTAAGGTTTTGCTGTGGTGGCCATCTAACAACGTTGTATCCCTGAAGCAGGATATTCTTGAACAACTTTGGATCAGACAACTGAGACATCTTTTTATTCATTATCCTGCATCCATTCACGCTGTTGTATTGGTAATGAGGTCTATTCTCTTGCTACATTATATTTGTAGCTCCCCAGCCGTGCAGCCCTTAAGCTTTGTTTCATTAACAGCTGTATTGGAGTTCCTGCACACTCCTGCTTCATGAATAATTCATGCACCAAGCTGAAAGAACAGAGTCCGATACAAGTATCAACACAGATGTGGCAACTTTTCGCCACAGGCTCTTTGTTTGTCTGATTTTCTTCTCATTCTTTCACTTTACCATCTCGGGTGTTTACCCGGGTGACGGGGACACTTAGTACACTTATGTTGTAGGAACCTGAAAGTGTTCGCCATTATCTGATTAGGGCTATTCTTCCACTCCAAACAAAAGTTTGTATTTTTTCCCAGCGCTGTTTGCCTGCAGATACAGTGCCATCTTTCTTCTCTTTCCTCCTGCTGTCTGGCTGCGAGATAACCATTTGTCTGATGGTGGGAGACACACACACACTCCCCAGCAGTTAGGCTGTGCTCAGATCATCCGTTACAGAAGTCTGTCCCCCTTTTATTTCTTACTCCACTTTTCTCAGCCAATCTTTTTTTACCGGTTTCCTCTTTTCCATCCATCCCTCCTGGCAGAAGTTGTCATTCATCACACAGTCACACCTGTGAAGTGTCGGCTCTCGTTGACAAATGAGTGTGATGAGAGAATGCTAAATGAACGAGCTAAATGAGAAATCGGGGGTAATTATTAGAAAAGCCCTGTTCTTCAGCTTTCTGCTGTTTATTTTTTATTTTGGTGACACATTTAGCAGCAGAGCACTCAAACTGAGGAGAGCAGGTTGAAAAAAATTAAACTTCTTCCTGCAGTTGTACAGAACTAAAACTCAAAATCAGATTTTATTTCTTCTGGCAAGGCATGTCAGTTATTCTTGTGCTTTTCCTTATGTGCTTAAGTGATTATTTTGTCTTATATTAACATTAAATTTTGTCTCTCCTCATGCATTTGTCTTCTGACTTGTTGCTTCTGTGCATCTGCAGGGCGCCCTGCCATTTGACGATGACAACCTAAGGAATCTCCTGGAGAAGGTTAAGTTGGGAGTGTTTCACATGCCACACTTCATCCCTCCAGACTGTCAGAATCTTCTCCGTGGGATGATTGAAGTGGACGCCTCCAAAAGACTAACGGTGAGAGTGGATGGACACAGACATGCCTGTTTGGTCATGTCTCAGTCTGTATTGTGAAGCAAATAATGGTACACCAAATCACGCATTTGTAAACACATCTATTCTTCTCTTTGTTTGTGACAGCAGAATAGCTATGAATCAGGTGTTAAAACACCAGCATATCTTTGTTTGTGACATTTATTTACAGAGATGTTAAAAGTATAAAATCTGGATTTATTCAAGCCACGAGCCAATATGAAGCCACACGGCTCAGAGCTGCTCACCCTAAAGCCTTCCTCTTATCCCTGTGGTGAAGGAGGAAGAGAGAAATGCTCCAGACTAGAAAGAGTGCTGCTGGTTCTCTGTTCAAGCGGGGCGTCTGTGTGGGTGTGGGTGTGTGTGCGCGTGCGTGGTCTCAATTCTCCGATGGGGAATCTTTGAGTAGGGTGGGGTTCCCTCACTCCACCAGGCAACACCTCCTTTCAGCGCATTTTTCAAACAGGAAATGTAGGTGAGGGGGTGACTTGCTCTTTTAGATGACCATTTTTCAGTTCAGCAGCAGGGAAACATATCCCAATTCATGATGGACTGTGAGATAATAAGCAACCAAATGTTGTTGCTGTTTTTTGTTTTTCTTTTTATGCCATAGTAGATCCAAAATGCAGTTTTCAAATTGTAATTTTATTTGGGTGGAGCCTTTCAAACCAATCTAGCCCCACGAAAACAGTCATTTGCTGCCTTGTGTTATGAATTACTTGTGATGAACAAAAGAGATGAAAGTAGAATCCATAGAGAAGTTCAAAAGCTAAAACGGGACATTGTGTTTATCTGTTTATCAACGTACTGTGCATTTTTCATCTTCACGTGCCATCTTCTGACACTGAACCGTAACTGGCAACAGCCATGACACTCACGAAACAGCAGCGAGAACGTGATGTTTTGTTTAGAAAAAATGGAATGCAGTAACCAAATTTGACCACATGTCATTCTTTCTTCATTCTTACATGTTGCACCTTTAAATTAAAATCTCTTGCTAAAGTCAAGTCTGGGATGGACTTTTTATGTGTTTTGGTATATTTTGTACTTTATTAAGCTCAAAATGTTTTTGTGGTTTTTTTTTTTTTTTGCCTAATTCCAGTTCAGTGTGTCACTTATGTCCACTCAAAGAGGATTTCTGCTTGTGTTCTCCCTGCATGACTTCATTGTTTTCTTATTATAATCCATCCATCCATCCATCCATCTATTGTCTACACCTGCTTGTCCATGCAGGGTCACAAGAGGCTGGTGCCTATCTTCAGCAATACTTATTACAATGTCAGTCCTTATTTATACAGCTGAACACCTTGACAGGAAGACTAGACATAGATAAACAAGAGCATAGACATGAGGCGTAATACGTTGGGATTAGAGACAGGGAAGAACAAACATTTTAAATAATTGGCATAATCCTGAAACAAAGAAAAGCAAATGGATAGCTCTGCCCTCTATTCTTGTTCTGACTTTCATTTGACTGTAAAAGCACAAAATACCCACACACCATAAAATAAAATCCCACACACACTCGCTCTCGAGGCTCTCCAGGTATCTTCATGAATCAATGCAACTGTTTTCATGCACCTGTCTGAGAGGAAATGTGGAGACACCACAGTTGGTAAATGTTGCTGCTCCATTTCTCCCATGCCTCCGCTTATCTTTCACGGTGTCAGAATAACTATGAGTACAGTGGCAGAAGTCTTAGGCAAACTGAGCGAATAAAAAAAAGAGAAACTGTGAGAAATGGGAACTTCTTTGCAAGAGCACTGCCGACCTTATGATGAAGTACTTTAGGAAAATCATTGTGAACGTGAGCATTCACACCTTTTTATTATGCATTATGCACACCATTTGCTTTGTTCTCCTGTTTCCTCTGCCTGACGAGGGCAGGTCACCCTGAGATCCCCAGATATGCCCACCAGGCAGCAGTAATGTCCTCGATAACGGGTTACAGAAAGGACCAAACTAGTGAGAGAGAATATGGTTTCTGTCTGCTCCCCTCTCGTGCATGAGGACTCCTAACGGCGCTCCAGGGGAAGTGTTTTAACCTCACAGAGCATCAAATAACCTTTAAACTTATGCATTCTTGGACATTTAGTGGTAATCACCCAGTTAGACATGGCAAATACACCAAAGGGCAGGAGTGACAGTATAAGGGAGCGAAATAGTCTTTTGCTTGTTATTGTTTAACATTTTCCTGGTTCTAGTCGACCCAAAACATAAATTCCATGATTTAGTTAGTTAGATTTAGCTCATATACAAGTTCTGTCTGTGGGAGGACAGCATACCTGAGCTTAAGGGGCTTAGCACTATAAATGCTTCTTTCTTTATTCCCCATCTTTATTATCGGGGCCCTAGAGGCAATTGTGCCTTCCACCTTAACAGTCATCTCATCCTTTCTATTAAAGTGAGCATAGAAACCGTGGACACATCTGTCTCCTTATTCTAACTGTCTGATGACGAGGACTGACTAGCTTGTGACTTTTAAACAGTGATGGGCAAGTTACTTCAAAACTGTAATGCATTATTTATTACTTGTTACCCTCATTTTAAAGTAATTCATTACATTACAATATTACTGATTTTAAAATGTAAGGCATTACACTACTTTTGCATTACTTTAAGTTACTTTCACCAAAACAACTTCAGTATGAATCTGGTAATCTGACGCTCAGTGAGCTCATGACATATATGTGGAAGGTGATGTGGTGTCTGAGCTAGGATTGCTGTTAAACACAGTCAGATATAATAACAGTGATTTAAAATGATTGTTTATTAAATAAAAGCAACAACAATCTGTACTCTCAGCACGCTGCCATCTTATATTAACTGAGCAGGGAGTGAGGTGGTGGGGGCTCCAAGCCTATATTTGCCTTGGTCCCCAAATGCCTTGATACGGCCCTGGATGTGGGACTGACTTCTGGGGTGATCTGATTCTATCACATGTATAAATATTAAATGCTTATATATTATTGCTTTTCACTGGTAAAAATGTGTGTTGGGGATAAATCTACCTACTTTTTTCTTTTCAAGCACTTTGTTTTGTTTTCTTGATTTTATTTGAATAATTTCCTGCCCTTTCTCTCTCTAACCTTCCTGCATGCTGCATGTTTTCTCCGTCTTCCAGAAAAACTGTTTCCTAGACTTCCTACTTTCTATCAGCCAAAGGGATCTTCACATGCGCGGTGCTCCAGCAGCAATGAGTTGAAATCACCGGGGCACAGATTATGAACTCAGCTGAGGCAAAGCACATCAGAAAAGCACAAAATACCAGAGAATATGCGCCGATATGAACGATCGCAAGTGAATTATTTTGTTTTAGTGGAGCGATTTTGTGAATGTTGCAGCGGCCGCGTGCAGGACGCAGCTGGAGTATTTGAGCCGTTACCGCGGCGTCGTCTCTGCCCGCAAAGCTGAGTCCATAAATGACGTGATATATGCAGATACTGGATCTTTCTTCAGGTTTCCCGCAATTTGAATTTTTAAGGAACACATCTTGATTCTGGGTTTAAAAATGCATTGTAATTACTGATAATTGTACTGAGTAAATATTACCATTTTCTTTCCCTGTAATGCCTTACATTACCACATTACAGCAAAAAGCAATGCATTACAGTAATTAATTACTTTTGTACCGCATTACTCCCAACACTGCTTTTAAACTAATGCATTATTCCAGGCAGATCATACAGGTGTGGGAGAGGTGCAGGTTGAGTTTTGTGCATCATTGTCAGAGACATTCAATATTAAACTTGTAAATAAACTTTTTATTTTGTAAAAGTGCAAAGAAACCACTTCTTTTAGTCTTTTGAAGCTAATAGACCCATTTCAGCTATCTAAACGTCTCAGTAATTTTACTGGATTTTCACAGCATGCATGTTTCTCCATTTCACCCCCCCACCCCCCACCCCCAAAAAAGTATTGTACGCTGCTTTGTGGTCTCCAGCAGAGCGTCAGAAAATACAGCATTTCTCTTGGTGATTGAACGCTGCTTGTTGCATCGCATCTGCTCGGCTGCCCCTGATTGGATTAAATTATGACGTACTCTGACATAATAAAACTTTTAATGTTATTAATGTCCGTGGACGCTTTTTGGAGCTTATCAGTGATGCCACTCACTGCCAAAGTGGTTGTGATATGCTGGCATCTTAGCCAGGTCACAAAAGGAACGATTTTGTATTGAAACACAACATCTGAGAAGCATGTGCGCACACACACACACACACACACACACACACACACACACACACATTATGGTCAAATCCCTTTAAAGTTATTCTTTACCTCTAACCACATCACTTCCCAGCTTGTGTGTCACGCCGGCCTCCTGCCTCCAGGCCTTCAATAAAAGGCAGAGAGAGTAAGTCACCCACTGGCCTGTATCTGACAGCCGGGGTATCTCTGTCGATACCGTGACCTCTGTCGAGGCAGACAGGAGTCACCTGCCGTCGGTAACCAGCTCTGTGATTGCACTAATATCCCACAAAGTCATCCATCAGGTCTACAGCGACGAGACAGGTCCTGTGGGATGAAGGAAACATCAAGATATTGATGGAGACATGCACACATGAACTATGTCTCTGAATGAGTGACAATAATTAGAGCTGCCACGTGTATCTCCCGTGGTTCCACAATGGCGACGTGAGCAAATTAAAAAGTCCCAGCAGTGACATTGATCCCATTTTCCCTTCTGTGGGCATTTAAAACACCGTGGAGCCATCGTAGCAGACGTTTTTCTCTGTTGCCCTTTGGCTCGCTGTTTCTGTCTCTTTGTGCTTTGGTGTTGTTGGCGAAAGGCCATGTTGACAGAGCTGGTGACAAAGTGGCTGTATTAGAAGTGCGGTGACAGGCGCAGGAAGTGATTCTGTGTGAGTAAGAGTGATGCTAAAAACTGAGAAAGTGAGATTCCCTTCAGACCGGGAGCGTGGCGGGGTCAGCGGTGTGAGAGGGAGATCATATTCTCAGCTTTAAGCGCCCGTCGATTCCCTCTCCTTGTTTGACATTATTTACTTCTGCTGTTCAACGTGTTTGTTTGTTCCCGGTTTGCATTAAAGGTGTGGCGGAGAATGTTTGTGAATCTCAGGAATGATCCGCGCTCGCCACGTTTTGAGAAGCTGTGCACGAGAGAGAACGCCCGGTTATCCTCGTGCACGCTCTGTTTACAAGTAGCTGCCGGCCTTGCTGCACACGCTCACTCAAGAGAAGAAGATTTGTGTTCCTGTTTTATTCTAATTCTTGTTTCTTCTTCCACCTGGCTTACATCTGTCCACGTCTGCACCTTATTCCTTTTCTGATTTGTTTATGCTTCTGCAGCATATGTTTTCCCCTTGAATAAGCGTTTTCTTTCTTTTTCTTTCCCCGCGGGATCAATAAAGTGTTTTCCTTGGGATAAACTTCTCTGCTAATAACCATTAGGTTGATTCTCTGATCAGAATCTAATATAGTCGTAGATAACTTCTTCTAGCGGTAATCTGAAATGAATTTCTCCAAGAAGCATGACGAACTTTCGCTTCTCTGTCAAACAGAAAACTGGCGAAAAAGCCGTCTGGAGAGCCCAACCTTCACTTTCAGCGCACTCCATTGTTGAAAAGAGTCTCCTAAAATAACTCGTCTTATTTCTCACTTCGAATGCCTTTTGCTTCTTATTGCTTGTGAGACACTTTTTTCTCTTGTGACTCTCACCCATTTTCAAAAGATCCCGGTGAGAACGGAGGTAGAATGAACGGATGAACGCGTGTGGCTCCACACATAAACAAAATGTGCATGCACAGGAAGTGAAAACAAACCCAGGAACGAGCACGTACGACGACTGCCTAGCGTGAAAGCTTCACCATAATCATCAACAGTTAAGCGGATCAATCGTTCAGCTTATCCACCCAGAAGACAAAAACCCTCCGCTATACCTTTAAACGGTTTAATTATCTCATCACCCCTAAATATCTTTATAGAAGAAAATGTATATATTTTGTTTTATGCATCCAGATTTGCATGTTTACTTTGAATATCTTTGGTTTAACCATGAAAAAAAACGAAAAGTCATTCATTAACCTGCATTTTTTGTTTTCCTCCTTGTGTCTTTTACAGTTAGAAGTAATCCAGAAGCACACGTGGTACATGTAAGTCCTCAGCTTTCCTTTCCTCATCCTTTCCTCATGAAAAATGACTTTGGGTTTCAGCTATGTACACAGGAGTACATTTATGCAGGGCATGACTTCACTCTCGGGGACGTGGGGGTAAATTGGTAGTGCATGAAAGAAAATTTGAAGCATATGGTCAAGTGAACAAGGAGAGGGCCTAAGGGAACAAGCAGGGATGTAGAGATTAAACTCACCTAAGTGAGTGCATTGTTTAACATTTGCTGCAGAATGATATTCACTTCATTAAGCTAACATAATTTTTCAGAAGGCTCCTGGCTTCTAAAGATTAGATATGTTCACTATACCTAAATTAATAGACTTTAATTAAGTTAAGCACGAACCGTTGTTGCAGTGCAGCAGAAATAAATGAATCCTGGGAGGAGAATGTCAGAAGTGACTGAGTTATGGTTCTCATCTGCACTGGAAGATCATGCAAACGGACAGCCAGGCTGATACAAGAAACAAGAGGAGATAGGAGCGAGGACATGAGATTAATGTAGTGTGTGTTTTGTCAGTGAGTAAGTCGCTGTGTCTGCAGCTGGGCGGTCTGACAGATGACTGGCTGAATGAGCGCACAAATGAATGAATGAAAGGAAGTTTCTTTGTGACGAATGTGGATGTTTGTCAGAGGAAACTTGACTATGATGAAAGGGGAAATTCAGACAACCATGTGTCCAAATGGTGCCAAGAAAAACCTCCAGACACATGTTTTATTAAATGTAATATTTTATCATGATAAACTCACACAAAATATTATTTTAGCTAAACATTGTTCTCCGTTGAGTAAATAATTAGTCCAATGATGAATCCATAAAGATGCTGAGGAACACAGACTTAACTTCTATTTCTTTTAAAGTTTGTTTAAAAGTTTGAATATTTTTCTTGGATTTTTTTGCTCTATTGTGACACCTAGTGGTGTCTTATTTTGCAAGTAAAGTTTTGTAAAATATTTTCTGAGAAAACGGTTGAATTCAATCCATCAGCAGTTCCTAAAGCCCATTTTAACAATACTGAAAACCCTTTACTCTCGCTGCCCAGAGTTAGGGTTGTAGCTCTTCAGCATCCCTGACGTGGCTCCGATTAACTTTGCCCAGAACTGACTTCAACCTGAAACATGTATATTAAGTTTAACAATAAAAAGGTACCTTTTGCAGCTTCCCTGCTTTAATGTTTGCTATTATGAAGATTTGTTGCAGAATGACACAAAAATACAAGATGTCTGTGTTTCCAAAACGTATTCGTGCACATAAGTTGTAGCAAATGCTCAGTGTGTAGTTTTTATCACTTCAGGGCCAGAATTGGGCAAAACTGACTCCAGATGACCAGTTTTACAACAGCCTTCTCCTCGCTTTGTGCAGCTTTCTGACATATAGAGTATTTTCACTCATAAATCTACCAAAAAACTAACATTTTTTGACAGATTTACCTCAAATTGCTCTAAAAGTGGAAGAAAATTATGCACGTCCACTGGAAAGCACTACACTTTAAACATCCACATGTGACAGACGACAATATAAAGCAAGATATTCTCATAAGAATAAAACATGATGGGAGCCATAAACACTTTGTAAATGACTATTTGAGCTGTAGCGCAAGGGTGAAGTGGAGCATCTGGCTCTGGATATTCAGAGAAAGTGATGGTAAAGACGATTTCAGTTTGCAGACGCCTGATTTAGAATAACTGAGTTATGTGGGGTAAAAGCGAACTCGCAGCATTACAGATGACTTGTGTTATTTTAATAGCTGCCAAATGGAGGGAGTTAATGCTCCATCAAGCCCACTAGAACAAGAAAAATACATTCAGGAAAGAATTAATGAGCTGCATATTGACTCGGATCTGTCTAAATATCTGTCTGAATAGACGTTTGTAGAAAAAGACAATGAGTTATCTGTTTTTATCCACTGTTACTTTTTGAAGAAAAATAGTTTCGAGTTTTATTTTGGAGACAAAAGATGGTAAAAATCGTTTTAGATGAAGCAAGAAATATGAAGAAACCTAATTTTGTAAAACATGAGACGGATTGTGCATCAACAGGACGGATGAGGAGTTTATTTTGTGAAAGAAAGCTCTTTAATCTCCACATTCAAAACAAGTGAATTATATTTTATTGAATCAAATCAAATCAAAATCAAAGCTTTATTTATAAAGCGCCTTCCGCAACCCTGTCAGGAAGCCCAAGGCGCTGAAAACAGTTGGGTAGATTTTTGTTAAATCGATAAGAACTCATATTTGTCATTTGAAGTCAACTTATTAAATGTGTGCATTTTTGTCTAAATCTGAGCCTTCAGAATCGCTCAAGCTGGGAACGTCCTTGTTTGTGTTTTAATGTCGTTTTTCCTAATCTTCCCAGTGGGGGTAAAAACGAACCGGAGCCCGAGCAGCCTGTGCCTAGAAAGGTAACCATCCGCAGCCTTCCCTCCGCAGAAGACATCGACCCAGATGTGCTGGACAGCATGCACTCCCTCGGCTGCTTCAGAGACAAAAACAAACTTCTGAAAGACCTGCTCTCAGATGAGTGAGTGGATTGATGTAAAGAAATAAGAAAAACACAGAAGGACGGGTGGAAATGAGATGGGGAAGAATACGGAAGGCGAGAGAAGCATGAAAATCAATGGATCAGAAATCCGAGTTAGAAAATCAAACATTAAGACGGGGACAGTCGTCAGAGGCTACGATCAAAGGAAGTGAGGAAGAAATGAGAAGAATTTTTGTGCCTCTCCGCTTCGGTTTCTCCCCAGCTCTTATGAAATCCTGTGAAGCTGTCGCTTTAGATGTCCGAAGTCGTAGATCACTTGGCTGTTGTTGGCTAACGCTGCTCGCCACTTCCACGTCCACGAGCACATTCCTGGTTCACGTTGTTGTTCTGCTATCTGCGTCTGAGCTACGTGTGTTTTTGATTTGTTTCGCTCGTGTCTTATAAATATGCCGCTGCTAATTTAGCATTTTTAAAATTTGGCGCCTTCATTTGCTTCCATTCTCTTGGGAGAGTTTAGCAATTGTGCTGAAGAGGAGGAAAGTGTGTGATCTTGGTTTCACTTCGCCCTGCTTCATTTTAGCTGAAGTTGCAGGTCCTTCTCTCTTTGCCTCCTACTGGTTTCCAATCTGTCTTTATTATAGAGGCCTATTCCCTTGGCGTTTTGCATAAAGTGTTACACAGAGGCTAAAGCTATTAGGTTTCCTGATTTGCTGAGAAGGAAAAAAGGTCAAACTTTTACTGGTTTGATACTTTCTTTAGACTTGGTGCCTACCAGCAGGCACCGTGCATGGGCTGCATCCTAAAGGAACTCTGCACGTATTATTATTCAAATAAATATTAATGTGGAAAACGGTTGTGCACCCTAAACATGTTAATGAACATGAATCAAAGTGATTGCCTTTGCAGATTAGTGTCACTTTTATATGCATGCTTAATTATTTAAAACTTATTTGCTTTACTTCCTGTTTCTAAGTCTGTAAAATAACAATAAACGTTTGGCTCTTTGCAGTGAGAACCAGGAAAAGATGATCTACTTCTTGTTACTTGATCGGAAGGAGAGGTACCCGAGTCAGGAGGACCAGAACCTTCCACCTCGCAATGAGATCGGTGAGGCCTGGAAAGAGCAACGCTGAATCCAGCCTGACTAGAAATGCACATCTACAATAAGTCTGGCTAAACCCTGGAGATGGATCATCTGGCTATCGGTTGGAATCCAAACAAGCATTCAGACAACAAATAAAATAAAATAAAATAAAATAAAACCTCGTCAGATTTAAAAAGGGAGGTCGGGGCTCTCCCTTGGAGATGGGGTGAGAAGCTCAGAGTTAACCCGATGCTCCTCCACATCGAAAGTTAGGATCTAGTTAAGATGCCTCCCTGGTGAGGTTTTCCGGACAGGAGGAGACCCAAGGAAAGACCCAGGACACGCTGGAGTGACTACTGGGCCATTCCCATCTGTACCGGGTCGGCCCGGGCTGGGTAGCGTAGGTTGTTTACATATCTGGGTGGCCTGGTATTTTTCCGGGCCAACCAAGGCTCATTCTCAGCCCTCTTCTCGAGGGGGTCTGCTTCAGGCCGACCAGGACCAACACACCCACTGCTGACAGCAAATTCACACCTTCCATTAGAGCAAGCCTCTGATTGGTGGGTAGAATCAGCCCACATGGGCTTAAGACAAGGATGTGTGGAATCAACCGGGCCAGGCTGGGGCCGACTGGGGCTACCCGGCCCGGGCCGACCCGGTACAGATGGGAATGGCCCATAAGTTTCTCGGCTGGCTAGAGAACGCCTTGGGATTCCTCCGGAGGAGCTTGCCCAAGTAGCTGGAGAGAGAGAGAAGTCTGAGCCTCTCTTCCTATGCTGCTGCCCGACCCAACCTCAGATAAGCAGATGATAATGGATGGATGGATGGATGATGAGAAATTAGAAAGCTCCAATGATTTCTATCCACGGAGAGCCGAGCGGGGATGGCGATGCTCAACCCAGACACCTGTGAGATACGACATTTTGATGAATAGACTCCTCTTTCGGTGAATGTGATACAGTCGATACAGTGACCATTAGTTCAAGGTCTGGAAGGAAGCCATTACTTATTCTCTATTAGGTAGAATGTCAATGCGATCATCGCTAAGCATCATTCAAGCTCCTACACACACGTTCACGCAATACTTAAGACTGCTCAGTACACACACACTCACACACACACACATTCACAATCAATGTCTTTGTTTTGGACTCAGATCCCCCAAAGAAGCGGGTGGATTCTCCCATGCTGAATCGTCATGGCAAGAGAAGACCGGAGAGGAAGTCCATGGAGGTCCTCAGCATCACAGATGGAGGTTCTCCAGTTCCTGCCAGGAGGGCGATCGACATGACGCAACATGGACAAAGGTAAAACAGAACCCCGACAACATCTAGCTCTGTGCGAGTGTTTGTGTCTGGAGGATCTGGCAGCTCGGCTTGTGAACACAAATGGAGACTGAATCTGTGCTCACTCTGTCTTCTGTCTCACTGTAGTAAATCAGTGTTCAGTAAAAGCTTGGATATTCCTGACGGCAGAGCAAAATACAGCAAAGAAGAAAGGTATTCACCTGCCTCTCGCTCCACACGCTTCCACCTCCCCTCGCTCCGTGTCCCACCCGTGTCAGGAAAGGAAAAAGATGCAGCCATGCTTTCTATGGAGGGAATCCTCTTTAAAAATACTGAAAATGCTTAATGATAAATAACTATACCGGCTGACAGCCTGAAAATCTATGCTGATGTCAAAGTGTCACATCTTTAAACATCTACATCTCATCAGAAAGTTTTCCGGATGGAATTTTCCCTAATTTTATACTAAACCTCTAAATAATTTATTCCTGAAATGTAAAATTCAGAGCCTTAGTATCAACAACCTCACTCGTTCTGCCATTAATCTAATTATCTCTTTTGCTCATAATCTGACTGCATTGATGATCAGTTCTACCAAACTGTGTCCCACTTTCTCCAGATGCAGAGCATTTCTCCATTTAGCCACGTTAGAAACGCTCGAGCGACGCCAGAACCGCACTCCCACTGATTTAAAACCCTCCGTATTTCAACAACCAACATATCATCACACAGCACACTTCTGCTCAGGGGCAGTGACATTTGTACCAGCAGGGAAGATTGAATCTGAGTAAGTGATAACCCAGTCTGCCTAATAGTTGTCACATTGGCAGAAATGCTGGAAGAAGCTGTGGAATCCAGCATCGATGCAAAGGTATATGGTGAATTTAGTGTATAGATTTTGAAAAGGTTCATCCCTTGCATAAAATGCCCTACACTGCAAAAACTGATTCCTAAAGAAAGTTGAAAAAAATCAAATTTTTTAACTTTTTATCTAATTTTCAGTCTAAAAAGAAAAAATATTCTCTAGAAAATTTTGAAAAGTAAGGTAGATATTGTTAAATGCGATCCAAATGTTCTAGTTTTGAGTAAAATAAAATCTACCAATGGGAAAAGCAAAGTTACTTTGCTAGAAATCTTAAAGGTGCAGAACACTGAAAACCCGTTTTTAAAACCTTTTTCTGATTATAATCTGTCTCTGAGTTCTTCATGCAGGCTGAACATGAAAATAGTCTCCTACACCTATCTCCTTCATTAGCTTCTGATAGAAAATAGACGGTGAAACTCTAGGATTTTAATGTCCTGACAGATCTACGTCACACTGTCACTTAACATTCATGGACTCGCCCATCTTGACTCGCGACGGGGAAGGCTGTTGTTGGTTTAGCTTCAAGGAAACGGCAGAAAATGTCTCGACTAGTAGAAGCTAACTGTTAGCATTAGCAACTCCACCACACAGCAGAACTCCTCCATGCCTGTGCAATTTGTTGCAAAGCAAGCCGAGTCTGTGGTAGAGTCACGTTGCTGTTAGCCAATCTGAGGCGAGATGTCAGAATATCCGGTAAAAAGCTGGCATCTGCAGCGACGTTCTCCTCCAGCTGACTTGATTCAGGTGCATCGGAAAGTAAATCAAAATTTTGATTCCTGCTAGTTTCAAGAATTTTAGCCAAGCAACTTCTGCTTACCCTAGAAAATTCTGATCATATTTGAGAATTTTTACCGTATTTTAATTAATGCTAATTTTCTAATGAAGAATTTTTTAGGCTAATAATAAAATAAATGTCTAAAAAAAATTTATTTATCTATTTTTTTACTTGGAGATCTGTTTTTGCAGTGCATCTGATCTCCTTGTTCCTTCACATCTCTGCTCCATTCCTGCAGGCAGTTCTAGAAATATAATAATAATAATAATAATAATAATAATAATAATAATAATAATGGAATGGATTCATATAGCGCTTTTTTCAGCACTCAAAGCTCTTCCATTATTCACACACCCTCAGATTCACACACTGCCTGCGATGGTTAGCTACTAAGTAGCCACCGCTGCTCTGGGGTTCTTGTTTTATTTTAAGATTGAATTAGTTCAAAAACATACTTTACTCATCCTTTCACTTTTTCTCAACTGTTTGTCACATTTATAATTTATAATTTATAATTTAAAAACAGGATCCACTGTTATTTGTATCACCAATCAACTCAAAACCTAAAAGATGGCTTTGGACAGGCGTGGATGGAGGGACATTCGTGAGAAGAAACAGTTTAGGTTTCTCATATGATTCCTTTAATTTAAATGCATGTCAAATGTTGAAATATGTAAAATTGCACAGTTTGTAAAAACACTTTGTCTGCATCTTTCTCTTAGTTCATTTTAGCGTTGGCACTCACCCTTTGCTCCAGAGGCTCCTCCTTTTCGTTTTAGATGGTGGTTTTCTCGTTTCTGCGTCTCTTGTGTACAGTCGACCTTCGGTCCCAAACGCCTCTGCTGTTGGTTTGGGATTGATGTGTTCATGTGGAAAAGCTGCTAGTTTTACTCTGTCTAGTCTCAAATTAGGCTGGTGTCTCACCGACTTCCAACTGTTGATGACGGCTGATTTGCCATGAGTTTCTAAATAACATCTCACAGTATTCTCAATTTTTCTCCTGTAACATTCTCCGTATTCATCCACGCCTGTAATCCTTTGCTGGACACTAAACCCTTTTAGTGCAAAAAACTGATTGAATTTGATTATAACTACATTGTATTGCCTTGCAGTAGCGTTGGGGTTAGGCCTAACCCTGATTTCAAGTAAAACTTGCATGGTTGCTCCCACAGATTTGTGTCTCCCAGCTTGTTGCCAACCGTCAAAGATCAGTGAGACACTGGCTGTAGCTGTTAGAAATGGAGAAAACCCCTGACTTTTCTCTTTAATCTCGTCTGCACTTGGTTGGATCATGTACATGCTTGTGTGTGCGTTTAGATGCTGGTGTCAGGGTGTGTGTGTGGGGGGGGACAAAGCATAGAGAGCAGCATAATGTCCAAAGATTTGACCGACTTTCCCGACAGCAAACTTTTGCTGACAGCACTGAAGATTGGTAGGACTTCAGATCAGAGGCCATCAGAGAGAAGACTGGCTTTGAAACGTGTTTTGACAGGATACATTTCCACCAGCATAAAACTTGAAAGAGCGGGAGAAACTGTTTTATTTGAAATTACGTAACTGGAATATCAGAAGCCCGGTTCACATCGAGTATTTTCTGCCTCTCGTATCTCATGTAGGATCTTTAAATACGCATGACTTGAGACTTGGCAGCTCCTGTAAAGTATAATTGAATAGATTTGGGGATAAATGCAGCTGTGGCTGCGTTGCACAGCAATGCAAATGACTTGAATCTCATGTGAATACCTGTTTTATTCTTCATACACCCAAGTGGATCCCAGAATATATTTAAAGCTAAAACTCAAAGCTCAAGGAATCCAATTGATTTAATTTGAAATCTTAACAACATGCCAGGAGAAATGAAGGGAGGTTAATGATATGTAAATGAAAAATGGAAAAGTGCTGTGGTGTGAAAACGAGAATTTCAATGGATTTTCTTTTCTGGTCGAGATGTGCTCTAGTTGTCTTTTGCAGTTCGGATGTGGAGTAGTCTAAACAATCTTAATGAGTCAGGCTCCCCTGGTGATTACTGACACAAATGTAGTTAAGAGGCTAAAACGAGCGCAAATGAAACGCCTCTTCCAGTGATATCGGTGAAGGGGGTTCTCTGCTGTGTGAAGTTAAGATGGGAATATTAATGCACGAGTCCTCGGGGGGTTTCAGAGCTTAAAGAAGGTAAATGAATTTAAACCGCATGTTGATTTACATGAATATTTACTCATGTAGAGAAACTTTATAGGATGCAAAGGAAGAGAGGAAGAAAACTTTCTTTCTGCTCACTTTTCGTTTCAGTTTTCGTTTTATCGATGCTCTTGTCTCTGCAGGTACAGCAGATTTAGGCTCCCACAGCTTAGGAGACACTTTTTTGATCATCTCCCACTGAGAGCATGGGGTTTGTTTGGAAGTTTGTGGAAAAGAAAAAGAAAAGTCCATTTTTCTTCTAGATGTTTTTTATTTTTATTTGTATATTTGGAACACTGCATACGTTCTAAAAATGTAATCTGAGTATTCAAGACAGACTGAAAGCAATCAAAGGCAGACACACTGATCAGAAAGGATTGTATTGAGTTGTAGATGTGACGGAGAAGGTGAGTTTTAGTGACTTTTGCTGCTCGTTCCAGTCATTTGGAGCAGCCGAAGTGTTGCAGACTTTGGGAATAATCATAGAGATTAAGTTACTGGAGCATAAATGCCGACGCTTGTTGGAGATGTTGAATCGTGAGCAAGGGTATAAATGAGATTTGCCAAAGATTGTGTTGTGAACAGATACCAGTGGAGAGATGGCCAGTTGACAGGAGGATACAGACCACAGTGTTGGCTGTTGAAAAGGGGACCAGTGATGAACCAGAGTATTGAGTGATAAATTATAAGTTTGTGTTGCCAGTGACTTTCAGCTTCAATAAAATGAAGGCATAGCTCTGTAACACTGATGAGCAGTAGCCATATTAATGTTTGAATTGAGCTAACTCTAGATGCTAACCTGCAGTAACGGTGCATCGAATGATTATTTTCTGAGAGTGACATCCATCCAGTGTTTGATCTTTGGTAAGAGTGAAAAACATAAACAATAATATAGAACAAAAGTCTAATTAACTCATTCGCTGCCAGCATTTCTCACCGTTTGTACAGTTTTTTTTAAGAGTCACAGAGCGTTGCACGCTAGGATGATGTTGACGCCAAAACAACCAAAACAAAGCGGAGACTCATCTCTTACATCAGGAAGAATCCGCGCGTTTCGAGCTTTATCCGTTCTTTCATAAGCCGTTGTCGAATTGTGATCGGCAGAAGCTTTTCCGGTTTGCGCCTCACTTTTCTTTACAGCAGCGGCCCAAAACGATCTCCTAACACATGGATTTTCTGCTTCCTGATCACGTGACGTGTGACGTATGCGGATGAAGATCGGCTTTAGAGCTGAGATGTTTGTTCTCACGGTGCGGGGGCTCGTTCCGATGTCCACACAGTAAAACAAAATGCAAATGACGACTTTAGTCGTCGTTGGCAGTGAACGGTTGGATTTAAAATGATGACTTTAGTCAGTGGCAGTGATTGAGATAAAGCGGTTTTCCCTGACACTTTATCAAAAAATGCTGTTAGTACCACCCGTGATAGCTCCATAGAATCATAATGTTTTGGTTTTAAATGTCCGTGTGTTTCGGTAGTCCATCCATTATTGATCATGTGCATGCTTTTACCCATCAGGATCAGGAAAGAACTATTATACATAAAAACCTAAAGTATGTGGAACCGAGTTTCCTAATGAGGGTGCCAGCCCAGATTATCCAGAGCATCCTGGACAAGACTTTAAAAGTAAAGAGAGCAACCGTTGATCCAACATTTCCTCCGACGTGATTTAACGACACGGTGCCTTGGTTTTCCAGTCAGTGATAAATGATTCCTAAACTGTGTACGTTGTTCGTTGTAAATTAAATACTCAACAACAATTCGTCTTCACTGTGAAGCAGTGGTAAGTCTGTGACAGCCCATTACCGTACAGCATAACCATCTGTAGCCTTATCCACGCAGACCTGCTGGTCCAGCACTGACAGATGCAGAGAGGCTCCAAACAATATGCTCGTAG